CTAAATGGCAAGAAAATGAAGTTTAATTTTTCTTTTCTCACACACTGCTCAGCTGACTGAATCAAAATTGAATACTGGCTCTAAACAAGGCTATCACTTCAAGAAGAAGAAGAACTTTATTTTTCTACCCCACCTCCATCTCCCCGAAGGGACTCAGGGCGGCTTACATGGGGCTAAGCCCAGGCAAAATACAATTAAGAGCAAAACCAATAGCAAAAAACAACATGACAAACATAAGCAAGCAACAAGCAACAAAAAGCTAATTTTGGAGGGAGGGAAAGGGACCACTATGCGAACTGATTAAAGGATAGGGGTTCAATAAGGTGGATGAAAACGTATGATAGCATAGGAAATGGCATGGCAAACAGAGCAGTTTAACAGGATCAGATCAACTTAGACTTAAGAATATATAGTGATATAATATAGGAATTCAGATTCAGGTCGTGATTCAGATCATGATACAGATCATTTTCATAGGAGTCATCAGTCAGAAAAAGCACAACGAAACATTCAGGTCTTTAATTCCTTATGGAATGTGGATAGGGAGGATGCCAGCCTAATCTCCCTGGAGAGGGAGTTCCAGAGACAGGGGGCCACCACTGAGGATGCCCTTTCTCTCATCCCCACTAACCGTGCCTGAGACGCGGGCAGGAGCAAGACAAAAGCCTCCCCAGAAGATCTTAAGGATCGTGTGGGTTCGTAGGGGAGGCGATGGTCATGCAGATAGGGAGGTCCTCAACCATTATATCAGGAACCCTTAAATAACAATTCATGATAAGGCAGATTCCCCTTGCTCCTACAAAAAGTACGGAACTCCTTTGGGAACCACTGCTCTAAGTGTCTTAGTCATTAATTTCACAGCTCAACAAAAAAAATCTTGTTGTCTTGGTTTTTAGGCCTGTTTCTGGGGTTATTTGGGGTGCTGATTCAGAAAATTGTATTGGCTAGGCCACATCAGCTCTAGTGTCTTAGATATGGCTATCATGATTTCTTACGGACAGATGAAGACTGGTAGAATTATAGTATACAGTGAATGTTCTGTATCTCAAATACTAAAGTTGTTAGAGGAAAACTGGTACCATTTTTGGAATCAATGGGTCAAATATATCAAGAAACAGGTCTAACATTTGATGCATCAAAATGGGTGCTCGCCAGTGTTCTCTCTTATATCACCTTTCCTCAGGAATAGGTTCCAGAGAATGAGAAGTGCCATGGTAGATCACATGGAGAAGCACTGTATACAAACTGTAGGGCAGTCTTTAAAAGCATTACATATAGCAGCGTTTGCACATCACATATACAAACTGAGTAACAATTTATGGCTTTTTTCTGCTCCTCTATCTTTACAATACACAAGTCTTGTTTTTGTCTGACCATTGCTCGCCAGAGCAAATATTTCTCCTATTCTTGGCTTGGGTATTTTCCTTGTAAAAAAAATCATTCAATTCTTCTTTTGGGCCTTCTGCTGTCAAAGGCTTAGGTCCAGAGATTTTTACATCTGGTATTATAACCCAATACTATCGGTTCCCTTATCTGAAAGGAAAAGAAGGAACATTGGCAAGCAGGGTAAAGATAGTAAAAGGAAAATTAAGTAATTATGGCTAGGGAATAAGCAGTGTCAAGATGTGGATGAGCCAGACAAGTGTATCCAAGTTTCAAATAGTATAGAAGATTTAAACATATGAGATCTTAAAGTCTGAGAAACAGCAAGATGCTAAACTATAGGACACTTCCATTTGGTTTCCAGGTCCTGAAGACTATGCCTGCACAGACTCTTTATGAATCTAAGTACTGAATGCGCTTTTTTCTTTTTACTAATTTGTTATGTTTTATTTTATTTTTTTACTTTTAGTCATCCTGAGTGTCAGTTTGGGTTAGAAATGCAGGAAATAAATATAATAACAAGACAAAAGCTACAAAAAGCAAATGGAAGCAGCATAACATTGGGCATAAGTGCAAATAACTCAAAGCAAAGTCATGATCAGATACAGAAAACATTTCTTTTATAACAAGTACCGTAGTCCCTTCCAAATGTACCTGTATATACAATAGACTGCATATAACCTCTACCTATTTTGCTTCTTACTACCAGTATTCCTAATGAAACAGAAACATTCTCAACAGTAAAGTTTGGGAGTACTCCTGGATTCGGCTCTAACCCTGGAAACCCTGGTATCAGCAGCGACCAGGAGTGCTTTAGAACAGTTAGAATTGATGCACCAACTGTGCCCATTCCTGGAAAACTCGGATCTGGCCACGGTGGTACATGCCTTGGTTACATCCCAGTTGGACTACTGTAGTGTGGAGTATGTGGGGCTGTCTTTGAAAAGTGCTCAGAACTTTCAGTTGGTCCAAAGAACAGCAGTCAGACTGCTAACTAGGGCTGGCTACAAAGAGCAGATAACTCCTCTGTTGCAACAGCTCCACTGACAGCCAACCCAATTCCAGGCGCAAAAGTGCTGGTTTTGACCTACGAAGCCCTATATGGCTTTAATCCAGGTGATCTGAAAAACCATATCTCTCTCTGTGAATTTGTCAGATACCAATGATCAACTGGGGAGGGCCTTCTCTCCGTCACACCACACACTGTAGAGTTTTTGGTGGGAACATAGGAGAGGGTCTTTTTGGTGGCTGCTTCCAAACTGTAGAACTCCCTCACAAGTCAGACCAGGATGGTCCCATCCCTGCTTGCCTTCCACAAGACCTTTCTGTATCAGCGGGCCTTTGGGGGAGGATGAGGGGCATGCTGCTAGAAAGGTTGTGGGTGAGATTCTGGAGGGGTGTGTGTGTGAGTTTTAAATGTAATTTTATTTACTATATGTTAACTGTATTTCAACTTATATCCACAAATAATTATTTTGTGTTTGTCATTTTTAAATTTATTGGGTTGTATTATGTAATTGTGAGCTGCTTTGAATTCCCATGGGGAGAAAGGTGTGGTAGAAATAAAGTAAAGTAAATAAATAAATTTGAAGAATAATTTTAGATACAAAGAATTTTAAAGCCTAGAGTGCATGAATACTGTAGTATTTTAACTGTCATGGCTCAATGCTATAAAATAATGGAAGTTGTTGTTTTATAAGGACTTTAGCCATCTCTGCCAAAGAGTGCTGGTGCCTGAAAAAGCACAAATCCCAGGATTCCATGGCAGTTAACGTGGTGTTAAACTGCATTAATCCTACAGGGTAGATGCATTCTGATTACTATTCTAGTAGAAAATAAAGAATTTGAATATAAAGCTATTTGTTTTCTATGAGCTTATCAGCAACAGAGACTTCTGCAAAGTAGAACAGAAGCAAAATATCAAAAGAAAAATTCTGAGTATAAAAATATGAACTAAAATACCCTGAGTCATCAGTATGGATCAAAATCTACAAAATCCACTGTAATATGAAATTCTTTATAAACAAGATTTTTTTTGCTGTAAATCTGTCTCACAAGATTTACAACAAGATTTAAAACAAGTATAACTGATCACTTATTTATGGAAGTTGCACAGCTATCTAATTTTACTTTGAAGATATCAGTAGTTAATTACTATAAATATATACCTAATTTGATATCCCAATTATGTCACATAGAGTTGGAGGCTCAAACCAACTGATAGGCGAAATAATGGAGAATGCCACATGCTATCAATACGCATTTTTGAATACAACAGAACTAGGTATGCATACATGCACGTTTCACTTACACAGAACTGATTCCAGAAATAAATTTCAATCACAATCAAATGCTTCCTAGGCCATGAATTATAATGTGGTTTCCTTATTAATAATGTATGGTTTCTTATGCTGATCCATAAGGGTATGTCTAGACATTATCTTTTCCAAGTGTAAGAACATACCTGAATGACAACTTCTGATGGCTACCAGCAATTTTCAGCACAGCTTGCTTTGAGAAACTTCCCAAACGAGTTTCCATGTCAACAACTGGTATAGTCAGAAAAATTGCAGCTTGTGTAAGAACCCTGAACCTGAGACCTGAAAGTACTGTTGAGAAATGGAAGCGTTCCTACAAATGAAAGTATTTCTGAGGCAATCTGACCAGATGTTACAACCAAATCACTATGAAGAGGAAGACACATGTGGGGAAACAATGTAGCAAAGCCTCTTTCTTTCTTTGCAGAATAATGGAGAAGTAGTATAGAACATCTATATTTGATCTCTACAAATGAGATGCATTGTGTTGTCTATTGTTGTGTCAATATTGTATATTATGCTTTTATGGTTTTAATTGTATATCGTTGATTGATTCCTATTCTTGTTGTAAACCGCGTTGAGTCGCCTGTTGGGCTGAGAAACTGCGGTATACAAGTAAAGTAAATAAATAAATAAAATAAATACAGCAGGTTAGGTAACTAAGGAAGGTGTTGAATTAACAATAAAATGTGAATAAAGTAGTCAAAAGAAAAATGCACATAAGCAGCAATAGCTGTAGTGAAGTTCAGGAGCTATCTTGCAACATGCTTACTTAGGAGTGGCACAGTGGTTTCAAGATAATAATTTTAGGAGGCTATAACAGAGGAATGTGAGGTAGGGCATTTCACTAGCCCACTTGAAAACTCACCTTTATCATAATTATTCTCAAATACTACTACTAGCTGACATTTCAACAAGTTGTAACAGGGATATCAGGTTTGAAGAATGGGTATTTCATGAGCTCTTCTGAAAGACTACTTGTTTTTTCCCTCCAATCTCCCCATCCCTTTTTCATTTTGTGTATTTTTAAATTCCAAAGTTATGGGAAGGTTCCAAGATTATGGAGAGACATTTATTTGCTTTTACTGAGTTTAAGTAAGCCACTCACAAGAAACTTTTCTGGTTGCTGTAAATAAATGAAATTATAAAATTATTTTCAGACTTCAGTGCTCACGGCACTTCCACCAGAAATAACAGAAAACCAAATTAACACCATTGCAGGAAGAATTGTAAGAATTGCATGGTAAGAATTGTTCTACATAAAATTCAAGAAAGAGCAAAGTAATAAAATCCACTTACCAAGAAAACTCAGTTATCCCCTGCCTCCATGCAGTGTGATATCTAAGACCAAATGAACAGAGGAAGGATTAGTAACAGTGCAAATACTTTCTAGTTCTATCAATCATAAAACTGGGTTAAGTCTGGAACTATTATCTGACCATCTGTCAGTAGTGCTTTCATTGAGTATTCCGGCATGGAAGACGGTTGGACTGAATGGCTCTTATGATCTCTTCCAAACCTATGATAATATAAAGCTGATTTTCTTTGTTTAAGTGCTAAGTCAATCCAGTGATTTAACAAGCTCACCACACCTCTCATCATCTTGTCATCAAACAATTGGAACATACAGTACATTGATATGCAGATTGTATATCATTGGCTCATGTTCTTCATAATCTCACCAAGGAGAAAATTCCAGGGAGTTCACCAAGCTCCAGAAAGATTAGATCCTTGAGATTGTCATCACATACCCCAAGTTCTTCTCAATCAGTCTTAATACAGAGCAATCAATTCTTACTCGAAGTGTAAGATACGACACTTAGGCAGAAAAAATGAAATGCAAAGATATAGGATAACAACAACAACAACTTTATTCTTATATCCTGCCTCCATCTCCCCGAAGGGACTCGGGGCGGCTGAGATGGCGATCAAGCCCAATATAAACAAAAGTTACAAGTAACACGATTAAAAACATATAACAGTGAAACATATTAAAACAGTAAAACCAATAAAATTTAAGACATCACAAAACATAAGCAAATAATCAGTAGCTGAGAAAAGTGGGCATGTGCAGATTTGAGACTAATAGGGCAGGAAAACGGCTTCTGCCAACTCAAACTGTAGGGCCGTGTTGGGAATAAAGTGCTGGAGAACCAACCAAAACATTAGGGCTAGGCAGACTTAATCAGTAGCTAAACCATTATTCAAAGGGACATTGGAACATCCAAGCCTTCAAGTGTTTCCAAAAGGCAGAAAGGATGAGGGCTAATCTAATCTCCCTGGAGAGAGAGTTCCAGAGCTGGGGGGCTACCACCAAGAAGGCCCTCTCTCTCATCCCCTCCAACCATGCTTGTGATGGAGGTGAGAACAAGAGAAGGGCCTCCCCAGCAGATCTTAGCAACCACACCAGTTCATAGAGGGAGACACTGTCACAGAGATAAGCAGGACCCAAACCATTTAGGGCTTTATAGGTATTAACCTGCACTTTGAATTGGGCCCGGAAACTTATCAGCAGTTAATGGAGCTGCTACAGTAGAGGCATCATCTGCTGGGCAATACCTGGAACTACAACAGTACATATGAAAAAGATCTTTGAGTCTTCATGGGCAACAAGTTGAAGATGAGCCAACAGTGTGATGCAGCAGCTAAAAAAGCCAATTGGATTTTGGGCTGCATAAAAAGAAGTATGGTGTCTAGATTGAGGGAAATCATGGTGCCTCTCTATTACAGTTTGGTTAGACCTCACCTGGAATACTGTGTCCAATCCTGGGGACCACAGTTCAAAACAGATATTGACAAACTGGAAGGTGTTCAGAAGAGGGCAGCTAAAATGACCAAAGGTCTGGAGACCATGCCCTATGAGGATTGTCTTAAAGAGCTGGGCATGTTTAGCCTGCAGAAGAGAAAGTTGAGAGGAGACATGATAGCCATGTATAAATATGTGAAAGGAAGCCCTAAGGAAGAGGGAGCAGGCTTGTTTTCTGATGCCCGGAAACTAGGACTTGGAGCAATGGGTTCAAATTACAGGAAACGAGATTCCATCTGAACATTAGGAAGAACTTCTTGACTGTAAGAGCTATTTAGCAGTGGAACTCTCTGCCTCTGTGGTGGAAGCTCCTTGCTTGGAAGCTTTTAAAAGGAGGCTGGATGGCCATTTGTCAGGAATATTCTGATTGTGCTTTTCCTGCATGGCAGGGGGTTGGACTAGATGGCTCATGTGGTCTCTTCCAACTCTGTGATTCTATTCTTCTTCTTTAGTCAAATACCAAAAAGCTATTTAAGCACTGCCCACAAAGTCATAAATCTAAAAAAAATGTCCACTCTTGTTGGCAACTCTAAGGCTAACTTTACAGACAGACCTATCTCCATCAAAAGTGTCCATGCCAGAACTAAGAACATAAACTGCGAATAGGATGACCTTCCAAACAATACAGCGAGTTCACTTTAGGGATCAGAATTATGCAGCCTTACTGTACAGAAACTGGAATGCAACTTCCACCTTTCCTCATATCCAAATAGGACTATAATCCTGTACAGCTCAGCAACAGGCCCACATGAAGACCGTCTCCCTCTCCCCACATGGTCATCTCCTATTTTGCAGGGAGCAGGCAGGATCACGGAAACAGCTGGCTAGATCTCCAGAACAGACATGAAATGATTGACAGCAACACAGATTTCCAGAAGATCCCCGACAGATCTTAGAGCTTCTGTCGTCATTTTGCTTCTGACTAAATGAAAACACTTCTATGCATACTCATCAGGAAATGATTGGGGCTGTACAGTATTCAGGAGATGGGGCTTAAGGTGAGAGATGAAGTGTTCCAATCCCCACAATGCCCCCAAACTGGCATAACCATGTGAATACGTCCCTAATAGGAGGCCACCTTGGTTAGTTAAGGAGTGATGGAACTTGCAGCTCAACAGTATAAAGAGAAACACATTGCCACTCCCACTCTACAATTTGTAAACATTAAGCCCCTACCTCCACCCCAACAGCTGCTGTCATGTGAAATAAATATTCAGCAGCTCTATCTGGAGTTGGAAAGTTTGCATGACCTCTCATTCTCAATAAAACCTTAGTTTAACTGTCAGTACTGGACTCAAAATGGACTCAAAATGGCAGAGATGAAAATTCTTTTACTATCTTGCATATCAAAACATAACCATAAAAACAACTATATTAAGAAGTCACTGCAGGAATTGGGACCCTATTTCAAACCCTTGGTTTCTTGAAGGAAAAAAAAGTTAACTTTGGCAAAACTGACTATGTTATAACTAATCTGAAACTGCAACTCCAAGTCATGGGAAATCTGCAATTCGAGCCACACAGTCCCAGTCTTGGGACTGTTTGTCACTGAGGAGTACTGATCAGATTTCTAGACATTTTGCTAGCACAAATCATAAGTAGATGGCATCTGGTTTATGTGCTGGACCTTCGGTGGTTGCAAGCCACTCTGTGCAAGTCTTCTCACATAACTTTCCTCTTCTATAGTTCATTCAACTCAACTATGGAAGTTTAAGCCCCATTTAAGAGCCCCAGCAACATAAGAAAAAAAAACCCAAGAGCTTTGCTAGATCTTAACAAAAGACTATTTAGTCAAGCTTCCTGTTTTCTACAGCAATGTCTATGGGAAGTCTACAGGCAGGAAAACAGACTGGGCTTGCCAGCTGATGGGAGTCCAAACACACCAAAACTATAAGAAAATGTAGGTTCACCAGCCACGTATGTTTATAAAAAGTGGCTCTCTTGAAAATAAAATGTCATATGTATGAATGGGGTAATGTGAAATATAGAGTGCATTTACACTGTAGAATTAATGCAGCTGCCATATCTCAATGCTATGAAATCGTGGTATCTATTGTTTTACCAGATCTTTTGCTTTCAGTGCATAAGTCCCAAAGAGCTTACAAATCTAAGGGCGCCTCTACACCAGGGTTTTTAACCTTCTTTATTCCACAGATCCCTTTGCCAGTCAGGTGAAAACCATGGACCTCTTCTCAGAATGTGGTTGCAGATCATTTTCTGACACTTAACATTGGAAAGTCTTTAAATTAAATAGTTACTATGAAGCAAGATTGTTATATGTGATCTAGTGCCAGGTCTATTACCTACCTTAATTTTGAAATATGGATTAGCGTAATTTTGTGATATGCAACAACTACAATGTGATATGAAATTCATAGTACTGTAATTTATTGCATGCATTTATAAGTGAAGAAAATGCTAGATTTCAGTTAGAGACCTGAGAAAATTAAGATAAGTTGATTTTTTTCTATTCAAACTCATAGACCCCCTGAAATCTTTTCATGGATCCCCAAGGGGGCCATGGACCTCTGATTATGAACCCCTGTTCTACACTATAGAATGAATAGAGTCTGGCACCATCTCAACTGCCAATGCTATGGAATTCTGGAATTGTAGTTTAGTGAAGCACCAGCACTCCTTGGCAAAGAAGGCTAAAGACCTTTTAAAGCTACAGACCCCAAAACTCTATAGCATTGAGCCACAGCAGTTTAAGTGGTGTCAAACCGTATTAAGTGCGGATCATAGTTTTCTAAACATTTCATGTTGGTGACACACTTTTTAGACATGGAAGATTTCGCGACACAGTGATTCAGTTTTACTAGCAAATTGGTGGTTAAACCAACCCCTTATAAGAGATATAGACACATACATAAATTATAATAATAAGTATGGTGACGCAACCTATCTCATGAAATCCTTTCACTCATATTTTTAATAATACAGGCAGTCTCCAAGTTACAAATAAGTTAAATTGGTATTTAAATTGAAACAGGTACATTTTAAGTGTTATTCCAGCCAAAAATATATCAATATTTAAGATTTAATAATAATAAGTAATAAATCTTTATTTGTATCTTGGCCCATCTCCCCAAGGGGACTTGGAGCAGCTTACAGCAAAATAACAGTTCAAACCATAAACAATAATTATTAAGACAGACAACAAAAATAACTTAAATTTAAAAAGATGGTGACACAAAATAATCTATTAATAAAACAACAAGTTAAACAACACCTTTGGATAGCATAGGGAAGGATTAACCATAGGTTATTGGGTGTTCTTCTGAGTTTTAAATTGTTGTTTTATATGCTATTGGTTTTATTTATTTGTATTGTACTGTGTGTTCATTTTATGCATTGTTTTAGGCAATTTGTGTCAAATGTAAGCTGCCCCAAGTCCCTTCAGGGAGATAGAGGCAGGGTACAAAAATCAAGCTATTATTATTATTAACACCCCTGTGGAATTTGTTTTGCTGTCTGTGTCCCATTCAGAAGATTTCACCTCACCTTCTGTCCCTGTAATAACTGGATTTTGAAA